TTGGTAGTTGTGTTTGAGAGAAAGAAAGAAGACCCACCTAGTTGCCATTTTTGGATTAAACAAGAGAAGGTGTTGAAGGAAATGGAAAGCTAGGGGGAAACCTTCATTTCTTGGTTGTTGAAGCTCCCAAGGTAAATACCATGACTTCCTCTTGTGTTTTTATGGAAATGTCGTGATCGAGGTTAAGGAAAAGTAAGGTTTTGATAAATGGATGGTTCAAATATGAACCCATATGTAGAAATGCATGCTAAGGTGTTGAGAGAGTGGCAATTGGTTGTATTTTGGTGTAAAATAGACTCCATTTCGTGTTAGTTACTGATTCTGCATACTGACGCAAAATATCCGAATATGATATTCGATTATGCATATCAAGATATGCCCCCAAGGAATATCTGGATATTGCCCTGTTTTCGAGAAAAGTTATATTTTCCGATATAGAATCGTCCCAATACTATTAATAGGGCTTAATGGGATTAATTAGAGCCAATCTACTACGAATTTAAGTCTAAACCAACTATATATTGCTTATGTTTAAGTGGAAACATTAAGTCGTATGAATATGAGATTGGGTCTTGATAGTCATGATGTTCATGGGTTATAGAGTGGAACCAAGTGGACTAGTGGAGCAAGAGCAAGAACTAGATCAAGCAATGGAACTTGACCATGGTTCTTAATTGGTCGACAATAGGTAAGTTTCTATAACAACATGTGTCCACCCGGTGTATTATCATCAATTATGGCATTAAGAACAGCTAGATTATTAGTTAGTTAGTTAGTACTAACTAATAATCTAGCTGCGCTTAATGCCATAATTGATGGAAATACACCGTGTGCACACGACGTGCTACATTTTTCTTCTTCTATCATTGTAGGTTATGTAATGCTTGTGGCATGATATATGTATGTGTTACTCATACTTTCACCTCTGAAATAAGTGTATTGATTGAGATTGAATAGTGTTAATATTCAAGTTCTGGACTTTAATTGGGCTTGAAGCAAGCTTTGGTCGAAAGCTATTAGAGGTAAGCTTTCGGTCTTTAGAGTTAATTGCCTTTTTGTTCCACCTAACTCCGAGGGAGGGTGATTTATATATATAGTATGTGATGTTTTATTGGAAAATAATTTTTGTGATATAATGCATTTCTATGTATGTATGCTAATGCTTATGTGCCACACAAGAGGATGGTTCCTTGTGTGTAGCATACGATGATGGTTCCATATGCATGGTACAAGATGATGGTTCTTTGTACTAGTATGTTGCAAGAAGATGGTTCCTTGCATAATTCATACATTTTAGGTTATGATGGAGAAGAGTTATGAAGTGTGTGCAGAGGAAAGGGGTTTAAATAGGGAGAGAACTGGGTTAATCGTGCCCAAATAATGCAGGTTAGGGTCCCTAGTCATGCCCAATGTTCGGCATTTTTCTTTCCTCACTCACGCCCCAGGCTGGACGTGTCTTTCTCCTCATGACTCACGCCCCATGCAGGGAGTCTCTCTCCTCTAGGTCATGCCTAATGCAAGGCGTGAGTGGTCACCACCAATTTTAGGAATGACTGAGTGAAATAGATCTGTTTTTAATTTCAAAACAACTATGTTTTCGTAAATAGTTATTAAAATGGCAATATTTTAATTTTTTTCCCTACCATCGACCACCAGCTCTTTCAATCTTTCCAATATGCTCCACATTCCTCAGGCACCAACTCAGTCAAAGTTAAATCTAAAGGGAGAACCTCGGACACATCCAAATTCATCTAACAAACCTGAATTAAGCTTCCATTAAGTGTCTTGCAAACTCCCAAGTAAAAAAAAATAGGAGTGCCATGCAAAATTGAGATTCACATGGAATGCATCATCCCATATAGAAGACAGAAAACCCTCAAGGGAAAATAATTACTAAAGTTTAGTAGCCAAATGAATCATAACATCCAACATTATAATCCTTGACCAGGTAGTGTGATCAAAAGATAAGTAACCTTTTGTCACCAAAATTATATTTTGTATCAACCTTATTGATAGTAAGCACATTCTTCAAGCCACTAGGGTTTGTTTAGTGGTGAATTTTTTTAAAAAGTTGTATTAAATCATGTATTCAATTCCCACTTGTATTCAAAAAAAAAAAAAGCGCACATTCTTCAATCTTATCTCAAAATTTCCTTCCTCATAAATAACCAGATTCATCAGTAACAGCTATAGAAGATTACAATGGTACATTTTGAACCTATGATTTTATGAAATGGCCTTATTATTCTCAAACGATTAACCATGGGGATTAGCCTCATTCTCGGTTACACACTCATCCTAACCACGCGCTAAATGGCATTAATTTTTTGTTTTACACTGAACCAAATCGCGCGCAGTGAATGGCATTAACTTATGGTTTCACACTCATGATGGCATTAATGCATCCTTTCTTCTTATTTTGTTTTAATTTTTTTTTCAATCAATAGGATATTAGAAGTTGAAATTAATGTAATATGCACATGTTACCATTTTAAGGCAAAGTTTATTTTATTTTATTATTTTTTAATGATTTCAAACACTCTTCTGAGCAAAATGGTAACATACATGTAAGGCATAAGATGGTGTTTTCTTATGCATAGTATGAGACGGTGTTTCCTCTTACGGTATGTTGCAAGATGGTGTTTCCTTGCGTAATGCATACTTGTTATATTCTCTGGCCAGTAGGATTTATTATTTGCATACTATATTGTCATACATATTCTGATGCATGCATGAATATTTTATGTACTGTGATTATACCGAAAATGAGCTTAGGGGTGGAGGAGCCCTCCAAGGGTTCCTAACTTACTGAGGTAATTATATTGTCTCACCTCTCGTTATGGGGATTGCCATTTCAGGTACATGAGCTGATGGTGTTGAGGCATCATGTGACAGGAGGCCAGATGAGAGATACTACTTGGCATGATTATTAGGGTCTTGTGGATATTTTGATTTGTACCAGATATATTTTATTTTGAGTTATGTATGCCATGTATTCTTTTGAGAGCATAGGAGATGTCTATGCCATTGCATATACATATGTATGTTGGTTAGGCTGGAATGTATAGGTTTAATTATCATTACTTCTTGATAGCCACGGTGCGGTGTGGTGATGATATGTAAACCTATTTACATTCATTTTGGTTATGCCAGTTATATGATGGAAGGGCTTAATTGCCTATTTGATATAGTAAATTGTTAATCGGATGATAACTGCATGACGGGAGATAGTCCCAATAGTTCAAGATACAGACAAAATGTCGTACGTGATATTTAAAGATGAAAGTCTTTAAGTTTGTAATACATAAGGAAAAAGATTGAAGATTTATTCAGTTAGCTTCCTCATTAATTAAGTTGAGCATGTTGCGCTTACTATTATATGAATATTAATTAATCGACTACAGACAGGGCGTTACAATCCATATGTCCAAAATTGCTAATACTCTTAATTAATTAAGAACCAATAACAGAAATTTTCTATCAGCATTGCATGTAATCATATCACTTTTTATTTTATTTTTTTAGTGGATGGTGATCATGTCACATCTATCATAGTATTGTTATGCCCTGATCAAATGTCTATGGTTGCAAACTTCAGGGCTGTGATGGATCAATTCTGCTAGATAATGACACCCCAAACTTCATTGATGAGAAGACAGCACTCCCAAATAATAGTTCAATTAGAGGTTTGGAAGTGGTTGATGAAATTAAAGCAGCGGTTGACAAAGCTTGCAAAACGTTCCAACAGGGACAGAATACATGCTCTGTTTCTCTCTTGATACCTCATTTATGCACAAACTCTGTTTCTCTCTCAGAAACGGACCTCCATTTGGGCTTCAAACCCATTGTTAGGGAACAGGTCTTTCTAGAAGAAAAGCTAGTGCAAAGGCCCAAACGTTTTGAAAATTACGCATCATGGGCTAGATTACGCAGAAAGTCCAAATTTCTATTCCTTTATAATTGCTATACAATTTCTAATTTTCATTAAACAGAAACTCGTATTATTTTTTTATTTTTTTAGTACACTGAAACTCGTATCATTTAAATAGCCAGTGGTATGGAATAGAATAATTTTAAAATAGAATAAAATAGACTGAAATAAAATAAATAAAGTGTTATGGAATAGTATACAATACGGCAATATTTTATTTCATTCTATTTAAAATAATTAATATCATTTCATTTTGTTTTTTTGTTTTTTATTTTTATTAATTCAAACATAATTAGGCCACATTTTTTAAAAAAAATATGTAAGTTTTGCGTTGAATTGACATTAATGATATTTTATTGATAAATAATCTATAAGTTTCACATTAGCTATATATAAAATAAGGGAAAATTTGTCTATCAAAAAAATAATAATAATAATAATAATAAGGAAAAAATTTGTGTCATTTAAAAGGATGTAAAGTTGTGTCATTTTAAGTGAGAGAAAGAGATAGATAAAAGGGGGGAGATAGTGGACAAAAATAAAAATAAATATGTAGGTCTTACCTCTCTGAGTGAAATGATATAAGTTGTGTCATTTAAAAGGATAAATATTTTTCCCATAAAATAATCCAATCTATAAGTTTCTGCTAGTGCATACATCACCACCATGTCAAACCTCTCACGGGGACGATTAGAGAATAATTACACTGAATTGCAGAATATGGTTTACTGCTAGGATCTTTATATCTTCTGTAATTCAACATATATCTCATGCTAAAATTTAAAAATTGTAATCTATTTCTTGCTCTTTCTGTCCTTATTCATGCGTAGGGATTGTAATAATATAACTTTTACACCACAAAAGTGGTATGAGAATAACAATAACACTTCTTTTTTGAGGACAAAAGATAAATTATGGAGAACTACAAGAGCATTTGACTGACTATCACACCTTATAATTCAGATTCTCAGATCACTATGACTAGACACATACTAAGCAATACCATAATACATGAAATATTGTGACTGCATGAGCTTGTTTTAGCTCATAATATTTTATTTTCTATGTTTTAGTTAACTTTGCTGCAGCTAGTACGAATCTGGCCATTTTTCCCTGTTAAAGGGCTGAGGTTTCCCATTTTTACCATGGCACTAGCAAAGTCTGCAGAGAAAGCTGAAGGGTTGGTGCTATAGTTTTTAACCTGAGAGTCTGTAGAACCACCACTGAAGAGTTGCTGATCAGAATGTAGAAGTCCTTTGTTGTTTACCAGATTCTTGAAATATGCATTGTCAAAGAACACATTGGTGGTGACATCAAGTGGGGAAAGGTTATTGTCACCATCAGTGCTTGGACAGTTTGACTTTACTGATGTTGCAAAATTTGAATCAATGTTGGTTTCATTATAAATCCGGCCTCTGAACAACTGGCATCTGGCTTGCCCTGTTGTATGAGCTCCTATACATACAAATATAATGAAAAGAAAAAAAAAATCATTAGGTAACCTGATTATGTTGAGATAAAGGTAATTATGAGGCTAACTAGAGAATAAATCCACTCATATTGAACAGATCATGTGAAATAATCTCAGCCATATAGAGACGAATGTATTAAAATATAAGGGAAGAAAATAATAACTGATAATTTGTATATAAACGGTTGTGGACCTCTCATGTAACCTCATGTCACATGAGAGGATCCATTCTTATTAATCAAATACTCGTGAAAGTTCTTGTAAATCAGACATGTTTAACGTGGTGGAAAAATATATTAAGATACAAGTTAAGAAAAAAACAAATATAGATTTATATCAAAACAAATATATATTAATCACATGAGAGGATGTATGATAAAAGATTTTAAAAAAATAAAAATAAATGTGCTTTAAATTTACCTGAGAGGGCTACCATTTCTTGGGCATTAAACCCCTTATTTGAAAAAGCAGATATAAGGTCACTAAGATCCATAAGAGGGGATGGGATATCCTTAGTGGCAGCATCTTTACTTGCAGTGGTTGAATCTCTTCTGCCTAGTCCAACAGTCCATGATGGACCACCCAACTGAGATAATGAAAAAGACACAAAAATGGCTGTCAATTAATTAGCTTTAAATTAATCATATCAAAAAGTTTCAAGGAATGAATTTTCTGGTCAAAATGTCAATGTATAAGTGCTATACTTCTCAAAACAATCTCAGTAGCTTATAATAAATTAAAGTTGTTTCTGTTCAACAGATTACAAAACATTTTTTAATAAACACAGTGAATTTTTAAAAAATTGAAAAACATATACAAATGTAGTTTTTCTTGTTTATTTAACTGTGTTTCTATATGTTCATATTGATCATTGGATTAAACTTACTGTTACAACAGAATCACGGGCAGCAACAGCAAGAATATCTGCACAAGAAACAATTCCAGGACAAGCAGTCTCCAATTGAGTTTTGATGTCATCAATTACATTAAAACCTCTCAGAGAATTCACATTTGCACCAGCTGATTGCTCTCCAGTAAAGCTCGAAGTGTCATTCAATAGAACTGATGCATCACATCCCTACAAGTTAATTTCATCTAACAATCAATAAAAAGATACAATTTTCTGTATGATACAACTGTAAATTAATTTGTAATGCATAGAAACCCATACTAGCTACATTCTATTCCATGACAAAGTCCAAGATGTGATGAAATATTTCTAGACCATCTAAAGTTGAAGGTTTTTTTCTAGTAACTGTTAGTAAATTATATTTTTAATGTGTTTGGGGGATACATATTGTATAAATAATTATATTATGCTATTTAGTATATATTTTGAGTAAATTAAAGTGATCAAATAAAGATGTCCAAATAGATTTCTAAGTAAGTGTGAGATAAGTGGGTGGATATCAGTATTGGATTAACTAGGTATAATGGGAGCTTATTGGCCCAACAATAAAGAAAAACACTATAAAGGGTAATGATTTCCAATATGTCAAATAACAACCTTAATTTCTCTTTCTCATCAAGAGAGAGACAACACACTAAAGAATAAGGATTAAGGTTATTTAACTGAGGAATATCACATTATACCCCAAAGATGAAGATTGAACTTATTCCACTGCTATGGAGACAGGTATGCCTCCAAATTTCTGTTAATATTCCTTTATGATTTGGTATAATGGATCTTGGTTTGTTGGTGATGGTTATCACCATAAGGTTAAGAGGAATTATTATTCCAACAAGGTATTAGAGCCAGATTGGGCTCGGGCTAGCTAGGTGTTTGGCTAGGAGACGGGTGGAGTACTTTGGACCTGGGTACTCGGTTAAGGGAGAGCATACCAATACTGGGTTTCACACTTGAGGAAAAGATTGTTGGAGTATTCAAATGTGATGAGTCCCACATTGATTGGTAATGAGCTAAGTGAAGAGTATGTAAGTGGAAGAACCCATAAACCTAATCCCTTAAGGTTTTGGGTTGAGACGTGGTATCGAATCTACTTGGTACAGTGGTCTAGTTTAGCTCATTGATAATGGTCCTCCACCGTGAGCTTCCCCTTGACCCGTATGAGAGTAACCAACATGTTCGACACCACATGATTGCATCTAGCTATTTTTCCACTTGTGCTATAACTAAGTTCAATAACTTACAACAACTATACACCAAAAAATTTTCTTATTCTTCCACTTAGATAAAGCAGCTTGAATTTAAAAGTTGCACTCATATTTATAATGGACCGTGTGCAAGTCAGAATAGACCCTGAAGCATGTTGTGGCAATTCACTACAATGAATAAAAGTTTATTTTCGCATCTCAACTCAAAATTTTAATTTTGTGTGTTCTTCCAATTATATAGCCCTCATTCAATTCGTTTCTAATCAACATGGGATTTTATAACACGCCCTCGAATTCCCTACAATTTGTGTTTAATGAAAATAATGCTCCTAATATGAAACTATTAACATAACAGAGGCACACACACGTAAAAGGAAAAAAGGAACACATGATAAAAAAAATTCTAATGAAAGAATACAGAACAGTAATGTTATGTAAATATTTTGTAAGTCATGCATGCATGCTCATGCAAGGTGAGTGGATATGAATCCATGCACTTGTGCATGTGCCACAGAATGAAACAAAAGAAGAAGGAGAGAAAGAAGAAAGAACGTGCATTAACAAAGCAATCATGGAAATGAAGACGAAGCAAGGATGCCCCCATGCGATGCTCTTTGTAAACAGCACTGCTCACTGCAGATTTTATGGTAGAAAGGGCTTTGGGACATGTTGTTCCATAGAAATCTGAAGATAACTGAGCAGAGGTTATGGCAAACAGGGAAAACAAAATAGAGAAGTAAAATCTTTCATAATGTGAGTGGAAAGCCATTGTACAAATTAAACACAACTGAAATCACTAGCAATGAGAAGTAAGTAAGTCTAGTTTGGAAAACACTTGTGATTCTGCAAGTAAACACTGCTCCTCTAGCTTAATTTATAGAGAAGCTTGCGCGCTCCATTTTGGACCTTATGTAGCATTTGTCTCTTGTTATGATCAACTTTGGTCAAAAAGCCAGAAAAGAAAATACTACTATACTAATGCACTATTGGGTTTCAACCAAATCCTCTCATCTTATTGATAATTGATAGTGGCTTATTTTGAGTTGTATTAATATTAAAGATATGGAAAAATAAAAATAGATTCTTGTTCTACCACCAAACATATGGATCAACTCGTACACAGTTATTCCAATTTAATAGTAGTTTTGAGTTCGGAAAAGAAAGCTTTGTTATCTTTATCCGACTCGACCGGATTAGTAGATTAACCTATGAATAGATGAAGAAATAAATAAAAAAATAAATAAAAAATCTTGTCCTATTAGTGGATTTAGAAAAGATGCTTGACAACCATGCATTTTAAATACTTGTAATGAAAAAATATTGGAGTTAATTAAGAGAGACTAAATTGAAAATTGAGAGTTATGCATAAATTGTTCTCAATTAAAAATTCTAGATGTACTAAGCCCGTAAATATTAAATAATTAAATAAATGTGTGTCACACATATTTTATAGTTTAAAGTGATAATATAGTAATTATTAATTAATTTAATGCATCCAATTATGCATACCAAAATTACACTAGAATCTCTCGTTTAAACATGTTGTTAGATAGTTGGATTCTTTAAACATGTTCTAGTATCCATGATTGCGTGATCTCTCCGCCTCGAGGAGATTAGTCCTTGATTTTTGGCTGGGGATACTCTTAGAACAATTTCCAAAAAAAAAACAATTTTGGGTTGAATCACGATTTTATCCTTGCACCATTAAATTTATTAATAAGTTATTATTCAGGGCTTTCATAACTCAAGTTCGTGAAAATGCGACTGAACCCTAAAAGGTGCGGAAATCGGAGGACTCAGGAAAATAAAATTACTCTTCTTATTTAATTTCATCTGGTTCAATGCCTTAAGACACTGTTTTGCTTGTAGAACACCAACCTCCGATAACTAATTTTGTCCAGCATGCATGGAAGACGGCCTAATCTTCAACAATGAATAGTAGTCATAAATTCTAGCTACGTGCCAACTTAAATAACACTTATAGTATAAGAAAAATTAAATGTTAATACCAAACGAAAATAGTAGTCATAATATATCTAATTACGACTGATGAAGGGAAAAATAAATAGAATGGCAATAGTGCTTTCATTTATAAACTATTGCACTTTGGAATGTGAACATGCCATTGAAGGAATCAAATTAGTCAGCCAAATTATTTCCAAAACTTGGCAACCAAGTTCTATGCCAATCTGCCAAACTTCAGAACATTCCAAGTGTATGATAATATTAGTAATAATAGAAAAGTAAACGTTATATAAAAAAATTGGTCCAAGAGATTCATATTTAAATCTGGTTCGTGAGAGGTCTAAGTTACTATTGCATTACATCATATACATATAGGGACTTTACTTACGTCACTAGCACTAGCATATTCAACGAGCGTCTCATGCGAGGCCCACCACCATTTATCCTTTGTGATACAACTCATATTGATAGAGATGGAGTATTGGTTTCTTCTTTCCACTACTCATTTGAATTTGCAAGGTAGCAGTCGAAATGGAAAATAAAAAGCAAAACGACGACAACCTACTTACCCTTGCCCAACATCCCACTAACTCATGGTTGACATCTTTCTTTTGGCTCTCTCTCTATCTCTCATGGCCATATTTTTAGTGTGTATTCGTTACTTAAAAACAAAATAAAATTGGAACTCAGGTGATATTAATCATGCAGGAAAAAATCGAATAAATGCAATTAGATGGATACTTTTGTTTAACTTTAATAATAATTAATGGATCGAATTTTTTCAGTATGCAGAGTCCTGAAAATGTCTATAGAATATAGAAGTAGTGAAAATACTTTCTGATCTGGATATATATTATAAAAATACAAGATCCAAATCAAAAATCTTCGCAATGAAGCAAAGCCTTAGTCAATAAAGGCTACAAGCTCCACAATAATAAAAGGCTACATGATAACAAGCTCCTCAATATTAAAGCAACCTCATCTCTATCACAATACTCATCAAGCTGGACAACAGTAAAAACTTATGACAGCAAAGATTCCTTAATAACAGCAAGCTTCTCAACATTAAAAACTACATGACATCAAGTTGCCCCTTCTACATCTTTCTGAATACTTCATCTCCAAGTATGTCTCACCACTTGCAAAGATGTTCATCTCTCTACTATAAATATATATGTATCCACACTAAGGTACACATCTTCTTCTACATAATTGAAACCTGCTTGAACCATAACTGACTTGAGCGTCGGAATGTCTTGCAGGTACACCCCCCATCTTGTTCCATTGAAGACCCATGAATTAAAGCTGTTCCAAACTGCAAGATGCTTTGACTCAAGAAGGATCCAGGCCATTTGTATAGAGGAAGATCACATGGTCAGCCCAGTTGTAAAATCAGTTCTGATCACTTTCCTTTTTCAGAATGTATCTCTGCAAGTATACAGAAGCTTCAAATTGCGAACTTCAAGCTAAAGATTAAATCAAAAGGAAAAAAGAAAAGCAGCTAAAAGAATAATCTATTAATTTCTTCTATGTAATTAAGTATGTTTCCTTGGTTAACATAATAATATGAGAATTATAAAACTAGAAAAACTATAGAAGTTATGCATACTTATTCAATTATTACAATAAGATATATCATGTATCAAATAAGATATATAAAGATGAACAAATTAAAATGACAGCAAATACCATATACTTCTCGTTATCAATAATTTGAAATTACTAGAAATATTGAAGGCAAAATATATATAATGAAAATCTAACTTAAAAAAAAAAATCAAATGAAAAGAACATACGATTTTTTTGCTAATACAATACCCTTAATACAATACCCTATAATGTATCCCATAATTCAGCCTGCTTCATGTGGAATAAAAACTTTGAATCCTTTTTTAGTTAAAAACAAAAAATTATTGGATCTTCATTGCAGCCCACGTTCTAGTAGCCTGATACAACACTTGTGTTAAACGAGCATCTCGCTAATTTCTTCCCACAGAAATAATAAGTGCATCTATGCATGATATCTTCATAAAGAAAATAAGTTGCATTACGTCATAAAATGTATGTTTATCGTATTAAAAAATAAATAGGTATCTATATTCACAATGAAAAATTGAACTATGAACAGAATAAAATAACTAGCAAATACATATTTTGTTTTTACAAACCATACAGGCAGGCTTATACAGTCGAAAATAGTACCATGACTAGTCATGCATATAAATACCATTCTTAAATTACTATCGCCTCCCCTATTTCAAATGCTGTGCTGCTACCTTCCTAGCATTTAATTTTCATGAGATAAATAACCCATTTTTCCCACACACATGCCAATAGTCTTATCTTCAGTGCAGCCTGCCTTCCTATTAAACATATACACTCAATATACAGAACATCAACTGATGAAATTGAACAATCACAATATAATGGCTATCTGAAATTCTAACGTCGACATCTAAATCTGCGGTCATCTCTATTCCAAGAATCTATATCATGATTTTCTTTTCTCTTTCACTTTTAAACAAAAAATAGCAAATAAAAATTGGTGAATTGGGGGGGGGGGGGGGGGGGGGGGGGGGGCTCGTTACCTCTCCAATATGCATGTTGCTAACTATTTTGTTATAACACTTAGAATATAAACTCTTCCTCCGAAGTATTATTAAGCAATTCTCCTGTCTCCCGAAGAGCAGCTGCTGTGGAATCATTTATGCCCAACAAATACTGCAAACGAGATAATTTTTCAGGAGTTGGATTACTCTTCATGTATATAGTGTAAAGATCAGCAAGCTCCTCTGGCACTTCCCATGAGAGGGGCTGTGAGGGTACTGCTTTGTCACAAGACAGCATATCATTGAGTGAAGAAACCTGCGCAAAAGGAGAGAAGCAATCACAATTGACTATCCACAATCAAATCTAGAAATATATTAGAGTTTTCTGAAAATAAAGCTTCAGAAAATCACTCACCACTCCTTCATGATTTCTCTGTCTTAATAGTGCCACGGCCTGAATGAGTGAATTAGATAACCTAGTTTGTGCCAGCTCACAAACAACGCCTCTTGCTCTCCCTTTATTAATGTTGAGATCCGATGGGATTTTTTCAAATACTTCCTCCTCATCAAAATCTCCAGTGCCTGATGAGAAAATATCATCAACAGTTTTTTTGAAGAGTGTCTCTCTCAAGTTCTCAGATACCATGCTGTCTATCTCAACATTGGCTTCCTTAAGCTCTCTTATCTGCTTAATACTCAGCCTCCCTTGAGTTACTGCAGTTTCAAGTGCAGCTGCCATTTTGGTAGTGGTAATACTCTTGATTATTTTCTGAGCATATTCTTGAGGTAAGCCTACTTGCTTCTGCAGACTATTAAGCTGCTCCACCCTGGCCTTTGTCAACTGTCCATCAGCTAAAATGACCTCAGCTTGTTGCCTAAAAGCTTGCTCTGCTAGACTTTTATGTACTTCCACTATTTCTTTACTACTCAAACCTAGAATCCCACCAAGTTGATTTAGAAAAACATATTCTGAATCATCCTTTTTAGTAGTGATCTGGGCACCAAATGGAACCCTTGTCACTTCACCAGTTAGGCAGAAAAGCAGGTAAGTCTTATAAAGATCAGTCCTATCTCTTTCAGGAAGGTCATCTTTAAGAGTAATTTCTGTCTGACCAGGGTTCCCCAACTTAGCTACAAGTTCTTTGTTTGGCCTTATTTTCTCAAGTGTCTGAAGAGAATCCCATTCTTCATCTTCAGTTTGTGTGACGTCCTCCTTTACAGGATCTTCATCCGATACATCAGCTGACTCCCCAGCTGATACATCAGCTGACTCCCCTTTAATGTCCTTCAGCAACTCAGTCACAACCAATGTGTTGAAAGCTATCATCTTCTTGAGTTCTTTAGCAGACTCTGTACGATTTCCAGCTGCTCGTGCACGTTTTATGTAATTAATAAATATCTTCCTTACCTGTAGTGTCATAAAAATAGCATAAAAAAAGTTAAACATGTTTCAAATCCTCATAAATTACCATCATATTTCCTGACAAATGGTACTCACGGCCTTGCTTGCAATAGACATAGCAGTCTCCCGGGTTAGTCGCAAGCCATATGCTGCTTTTCTTACTGATTTCTTGATATCAGCATCATATCCATCAACCCCTGATGCAATTGCATCATTGACAACCTATTCAAGAAAACAACTTATTAATTCAAATTCTTCAATATATCAGGCATGAATTGAAATATATATACCCTTACATTACAACACAGAAAAATTAAAAGAATACCTTAATTTCTTTGCATAACATAATCAACCAACTATGAATTAAGTGTTCCTTTTCAGCTTGGATGTAAGAGAATCAAAACCAACACAGATTTAATAGCAAGTAGATACATGTCTTCAAACTGAAAACGGAACCTAATTAAACTACAAGAATTTTAGATTAACAGCACCGAATGAAACACATTTCAAGAGAATATTGACAATATGAAGTGCAAACACTATGACAATATAAGTAACCCATGTAAAAGATAAAATATAAGCAGACTGTTTCAGGGTCTCCATCTCCATGCTACAGTTAAATAAAGTGTATCATCACCACACGAAAATGTGTCTTACCATTCTACCAATCCAAATAGAGGGTAGGGGAAAAAAAACTGTCCTCAAAAGAGAAATAAATGGCAGGAAACAACAATTCTGTGGAGAAAACCTCCTCCATGCCCCTGCCTCCTAGAAGCTACAAACCATTCTAATTAATTTCTAGTTAGATATGTCAGCAGCCAGCAACTACCGTGGATAAACCTTAATCTATCAGTCTCAGAGGATGCACAAGATTTGTGCCTCAAACAACAAATGAGATGAAGACGCATTATCAGTTTGTCACAAAATGGGTGAATCAAATTTAGTAAATATAACCAATGAACTAGAGAAGAAGAAAGAAACATAGTACCTTTTCAAACAAACTGCCACAGATATCTGAGTGAGCTGCTTCAACAGAATGTTGAGGTATACAGAGCATTACACGTAACCTCAACAAAGCAGAAACGTCCTCCTCACTGAGCTCCCCATCAGCCACCAATTGCTGAAGCTTTTGCCGGTAGATTTCTTAATACAAGTCATTACAGTTAGATTTTGATAAAATAAGATATCATGCAAAAAGATAAACATCACAACAACTAAGAAAACAGATACAAAATTGAAATATTACTGTTGCAACCTTAGGTTTAAGAATCACATAAATATAATCTTAGAACACAAAGTGTTCAAAATTCTGGCATTACTTACGTAAAATTCCAGCTAACCCAAAACATGGAAAAGATAACATAGAACAAGTTACCTTCATGAATTTCACTGGCCTTTTGTGGATCAAAGTGCAATTCATCACACAACTTTTGAAGGAATGCTGCTTTGCTATCTGCCATTTCTAGATCACCACCTGAAACAGCCTGTGCAAGGAGTTTGCGATATACTTTTGATGTAACATCAAGTCTAATGGCTTCTGCTTCACGTTTACCCAACCCAAATATATTCCTCAGCTGATTTAGTGCAGCAAGCTGAAATATATCATAAATAAATTAGAAAATAATATTTACCTTTAATAAATGAGTTTTAAACTAAAACAAAACTACATTCCAGGGGGAATCTTGTGATTGTACATCTTAAGTGTTAAAAGACTACCAGAGTTTAAGACTATAAACAATTTAGTAAGGACCCGAGAAGTAATTTACAATATCTAAAGGCTCCCACAAGTGAAAACCCATTAGCATTGAAACATGGCAAACAACTAACATGTACAATTTTGTTGAAAACAAATTCTACTTTAATTGAAATATTTATAATGAGATTGAGGGCAACAAGGATATAACTCTAATCAACCTATTCAATCAGGCTTTGCACTGTGCCAAAGAGAAAAAGTATAAGGCAAAGAATAGAGAATAAAGAAGGACCGGAAGTCTCACTATAGACATAGCTTCAACTTATATCAATGGTTAAAATTAAATCCACAGTTGCACCTATTGAAAGTATTGAGGAGCCAAATTAGAAGATAAGAAAGCATAGAGCACTAATTTACAGCTACCTTACTCCATTCATCTTTACCAAATATCCAACAATTTTCTGAATGTTCCCATACACTTTTTTTTTTAATATTCAATTAAAAACTTGAAATGTTCCTCCTCAAGAAAACACTTACCCAAACTCAACTTCAAAATATCCTAGTTTCTCAACAAAAAAATGATATTATAAAAAAAAAATCCATAGTTTATGTTCGAATCAGTGGCCATTTACCTTATTATCTTCCATGCAACCACCAGACAAAGTATTTGTAACATATGCTCTGTAAAGGAGTTTCAAGTCCTCTATTTTTCCGTCATCATCATACTCACCACCTTTGTCACCAAAGATGAACTAGAGTCAACTTAAAAAATTTCTACTCAATAATTGAAGTTGAAAAGAAAAAAAATATACATAAAATAAAATCAGTGAGGAAGCTTACCCAGTAAAGAAACTGGGCCAACACCTCGGGCAAAGCGATCGACATCCGGATGTTTCTTTAATGAGATGAGTGAGTTATTGAATGCCAATGTCTTATCAAGCTCCTCCACGGCTTGGCTGACTCCAGGGCTGAAATTTTTCAAATTGATTAGAAGAGGAAAGTTCTACATGCGCAAATTGCTTGCAAGTATAAATTTTTTTAAACAAAACATGGGTAACAGATTGCAATTAAAAGCATCTCCAAAATTCAATATTTCATATGGAAGGATTTTTGCAACATCAATTTTCACAAGCTCAACTACTAATCAAAACCTGCAACGATCAAATCTCTCAAAGAAAAGAATAGCCGAAGTTAGGAAAATCCACCAACATTGGGTGTTTAAGAACATGACTATAAGATACACTTAAGAAAACTTACGCTGCTCTAGTGCGGGATTTAAGTATATCAAGTGCTACTGAAATATTTTCCTCAACCAATTTCCTTGTACTCTCCTTAAACAAGTTTTCAGCAAGCTTCAAGAGGAAAATTCCATTTTAGTTTATAATAATAGATTATGCCACCTCCAAGGAACTCTGTGATAGTGAGAGAAATGTTTACACAATAGAAGCATTTTAAAGTTCTATTTATGAAAGAAGAAATAAAGAAAATGAACCTGATCAGAAAGGTGATACAAACATTGAGCTTCTCTAAGCGTAACAAGTTTCTCTGCATCAATATCTGGTGAGCGATACTTAGTTAGCACTAAAGGAAGCAAAATCAGCTCACTACTTCTAAAAACTACTATGGAATAATTTTGAATGTTTCAATAACAGTTATTTTAGAGAATTACAGAACTCAGTATATACTCTAATATATCAGATGAATACTACCAGAACACTTAAGGCTTCATTTAATAAGATAGACACATGTATAATTAACTAAAGAAAAGTATAATTTGCAACCAATTAAAAGTATACCAAACTAGCTTCTTAAAATCCATGCAAAAGCATCATATGATTATTTTAACATAAAAGGACAACCCAATGCACAAGACTCTCCAACTTCGCAAGAGTAAGGATGAAGGTCAATTGTATGCAAACTTACCTTTGCATTTTTTGCAAAGAGGTTGTATAAACAAATTATGACAAATTAACTTGAGGATTAACTGATCAACTAGTGCGTCAACCACTTCATTACAACAAGACCAACAAGGTCTAGATGTATTACAAAATTACCTCTGCCAACTGATTTCAGCTTGGAAGCATACAATCGCTGGGCATTGTCACGTATAGCTACTTCAACCTAGAAAATATATTATTGCCATCTGGTCAAATAAAAAAAACTAGAATAACAAACAAAATGATAATGAGAACATATAAATATTATCAGAAAAGAGACCATATTCATGTCAGCATTGCCACACGTGGAAATATGCAATTCTGGCAGCAAAATGTCAGTTCTTCATTTTCGGGGAAACACCCATACATGATAAAACAGTTATGCTCCTAGTATAATTGCATGATACAAATACAAACCACGTTACACATGACACGAGTAGTGAGTAACAAATAAATAATCCACCCCTATATACCAAATTAAAGTCCACTCTCTTGGGAGTTGTTAAATCTCTTAATGTACTCTTCCATGAAGAGTGACATGTCATTTTTAACTTCTCTCCTTTTACATTTGAATTTAAATTCTTTTGAACTATTATGCACATCTTCTTTATAATTTAAATATTTTATTTTTACTCTTTACTTTTTCCATTCTATTTGAATTAATTATGAAAATCTCTTTTATAATTTTACTTTTTCTCTAAAATATTTGTTCTCTTTTAATTTATATTTTACTGGAATTCAAATAACTATCCGTGCAATGCACACAATATTGGCTAATATACCTGGGAATCAGTGACCTTGAAAACACGCTTCCAAGGCAGAAGGAAAGATGATGCTTCTCCAAAAACAAGATTTGACACATAAATCAACTTCTGAAATGCCTGCACTGGAGACTCACTAACAATGGTCAAGTTCCAAGTATCCAATTAAATCCCCAAAGGTATTTCAATCTATTGTTTGAGATAATAGTAAAAGTGACTTACCCGGCGTTGCTCAATATCTGCTTCACGATCCCCAACTTCAAGCCTCTGCCTGAAAATTTTCCTACCAACCTGTGGTCAACAAGCACCAAACCAGTAAGATAAGCAACACCTTCCCTTAACTATAATATACATTCTCATTCTCCATAGACATGGACACAAATTAATATACCCCAAGAATACCTCCATATGCATAGCAGCCGCATCCGGGTCATCAATTCCTAAAGAATTCTTGAAGCTGATGATCCTGTCAGCCTCATCACCTTTAAGTTCCTCACCACCAGGAGGAAGCACAGACGACACGAACCTGAATGTAAAGTTGAAATGCAAATTAATCACTCGCAGCTGAAGTTCAACAGATATACAACAAAATCACAACTTATTTCTCACGAAACATCATAGCAATTAATCATACACTCATGCACAGATATGAAACTTGATTTGTCACTCACTGGCAATATATATCACAAATCTCTGCTTTAAATGCCTCATTCTGCTTGTTCACACCATACCTAAAAAATTAGCCATTATAAAAGAATCAAAAGAATTAGATTCACAAAAATTAATATAAGAAAAAAAATTACATTTCACTGATAATCAATTAAAATGACTAATTATCATCATTGATAATGGACCAAAACTACCTTTGAATCCATAAGTTCCAACTTAGATACACATTTTAATGAAAAAAATTAACAGAAATTCAGATAAACCTGTTGGCGATTCCATCAATGTCTTCCTTCTTCAACATGGAAGGGTGATCAAGCCCGGCCACATAGTTATGCAAATTCACGGCTGCAACTTGCGGAGCAACCGCATTCAGAGCGTATGCGGCGGCGCCACCGGCCACGCCCAAAGCAACGGCTCCGCCCAGGGCGGCATTACGGCTTCCGCCAAACTTGGAGCCTAGACCGTACCCGGCGGCGATGGCGCCGGCGACGACAGCGGCGGAGGTAGCCAACCGCAGCGAAGGCGATAGCTTGTCGACGAGGAGCTCAACTCCGGTGAGGTCCTTATGGACTGGCAGCGGCGAAGAGGAGGCGGAAGAACAACGTGGTAAGGAGACTCTAAAACAGCGTCGTTTTGAAGTGAGAGGGGTGAAGGGAAGAGGAAGGAGGGAACGGTGATGCTGTGAAGAAGGGATGAGAGTGAACGAGGGATTCATAGCTCCCTCCAAAAACGACGTCGTAAGATGGGAGTGTGGTTGTTACAGAACAAGAGAGGATTCAGTTATTACAGGGTTTAACGAAACAGAAGATAGTGAGAAAAAGCAAAGATCGCATCTTCAATGGACCTTTCGATTAAATGGGTCATTTTACTTCTACGAATGATCATTTCCAATCATTAAAATCCCCCCAATAATATATTGGAAATAACAAATAAGTTATTTTACCTATTATTTTTTTATCTACTTTTATTTATCATCTTTCAATGTCGTTAGATCAAAATCTCAAGAAGAGAGAGAAAGATAAATGTTAATTAAGATTCTAATCTAATGGTATTTTAAAGTGATAGACAAAAGTAGGCAGAAAAAATAATAAATAGAATAAACTATCCCTAGAAACAATAATTGTATATACCTCTTAATCAATTTTGTAATATTTCTCCATAAAGAAAATATTTAATATTTATTCATTTTTATATATTAAGAGTATTTAATATTTTTATATATTATTGTTAAATATTAGAAGAAATATTAAAATAATATTTTGGAAAATATAATCCACTCGTATTGTATTACCATGAAAATGTTCTAGATTAATGAAAAAAAAAAAGTTTATACAATGACAAAAATGACACGTAGAAGAGCGAAAAATCTTAAAGGGTTGTTTGGTACGAAGAATCTGATAGGAATGTAGGGAAAGTTGTATAGGTAAAATATATTAACCCCGTTTGGTATGTTTTCAAGTTAGAGAATATCAGTATAATATTCCTCCCATGCATTTCGTTTTGTACTGCGCAATGGAAAAAAAAAATTACAATCTGAAGTGTAGTATTTTTTTAAGCCGAGTCCCCAATGCCGGAGAGAGGAGTGAGGTTCAGCAAAATTTCTTGGAATCAAAAATTTTGAAAACTACAATGGATACCAACGTACGTTTGCTTACTATCATTCTAATATTTTAACATTATTTGACCATCATTATGGATAATTTCGTAATATCATAACACATTTTCATCAATATTTCACCATCAACCAAACATAGCATTAGTAAAAATAACTCAACTTTCCCAGTAAATTGTTTGCCTATCAAACACCTTTTTGTAACTTACCCGAGCCAAAAAAAATTACCCATCATATTCGGAGAATTTTTTTTTTCCAGTAATAAAAAATTTCTCTCATACCAAACACCCCCTAAAAGAAAAAGGATCTTTATTGCTTATGAGTTTGAGTACTTTATCAGGTAAATGACTAAATTTAATTTGTCATTTATTATTACAATTTGCTAAAATGAAATTCGCAGTAAAAGAATTTGATTTAACACATGAAAAGTTTAACTAAAATTCACAATTGTTCCTCGAATAGAACCACAAGCTCACAAGAACACTCTCCCCACACCCTCAATGCTTGCTACAAGTCTACACAATGATGGAGAAGGATTTTCAAGAGTAAAAGGTGGAGTCTTGGGCTTGGAAATGGAAAAGGAGAAAAGCTCCAACTTTGCAATGAAGAAGGTGGCAGCCAATGCACCAGAAAATCACATGTAGAAGAGTGAAATTCTGACCTAGAAGAGTGTGCCGATTAGTATTTATAGTTCACTTAAGTTTAATCCGTCGGTATTAGCGCTAATAGCTCCGCTAATCATTTTAATCTCAAACTTCATATTCTGAAACTAGCCATTTTTCTAGGATTTTACATATTTTTATTATAATCTTTTGCAACACTTTTCCGGTACGCGTTTTCACGTTGTCGGTATTAGTTCTGACACCAATACTCATTATTATGACTTCAAACTTGACATTCTTGACGTAAATATTATTCTAGGAATATTCATGTACTTATTGTAATTTTTCTAGATACTTCATCACTACGCTCTTATACCGTGAAGCAGAACCGGTATCTGCACTTTCATCAAAAAAGCGACTTTCAGCGTTATCACGACTTTATTACAATTATTTAAGTCTTTCCATATTTATTCAAGGTCAATTATGAAATTATTTCTCAAACTCATATTTAATCATTTAAATTCCTAATTTAACGGTGTGGAATCTTACAATATGTTGTGAGCAACATTACCCAATTTATGCACAAGATAACCCATGCATGGCAACATGAATCTTGTCGACTGTGTCCTTAGATACTTAAAGTTGTCCTAGGAAGGGAATTTGGATGAAAAAATACAACAATACAAAAATTCTGGGGTATGTAGATGTAGATTTGAGCAGGAAACCCTCTTGACAGAAGATTCACTTCAAGATTTTGCACCTTTGTGGGAGGTAATATTGTCGCATGGAAGTGCAATAAACAAAGTGTAGTAGCTCGTTCCAGTGCAGAGGCTGAATATCGTTCTATGGCTTCTGCTACTAGTGAGCTTATTTGGCTTCAGAGTCTCATTAGTGACTTGACAAATAAAATGTCATCCAAACCCACCAGGCTGTGATGTGATAATCAAGCGGCTATTCATATTGTCTCAAATCCTGTGTTTCATGAAAGAACTAAGCACATAGAGGTGGATTGCCACTTTGTTCGTAAGAAGGTTCAGAGAAAGATAATTGAAACTCCTTACATTAGAAGTGAAGACCAATTAACTTATATTTTCACAAAAGCTCTATCTAAAGCCTCTTTTTAGAACATCAGTGCCAAGTTGACCTTGACCGAACTCTTTGCATCAACTTGGAGGGGGAATGTTGGAGAAATCAAAGGAAATAATGGACAATTTTCTAAGAGAAGATTTAGGAAAATAATTGATCCAAATATAATCTGTAATTCAACCACAAATCTTGTAAGAATAAAAGGAAATAATTATTTTTATATCACTGATTCAAGGCTAAAATCATTGGCTGATTTATTGTACCAACTGTTATTTAAAGTGAAAGGAACCTTGAAAATCATATCAGATAAGGGGAGAAACAATTTGTTGAGGACGTAGGCACAAATTGTCCAATCACGTTATTGCTGTTATTGCTGTTTTTTTCTATTTCTCAACAATGTTGTTGAGCAGTCAACCAAAATGAAGACTCACTCATTAATTGAAGTGCTACATCTTAAATGTGATTGATGCAAGTGTTTGCATCATGCTACTTTGGCTTCTTATAACGAGGTAGGTATCCATAAAACTTCTAATTAACACTTATTCTTCGAGTGACCCAACAAACCACTGATGGAGGAAGACGAAGAAATCATGCATGTATATTAGGGTTAACAAAACGGGCCAACCCAGCTCGACCAGCCCAACCCGCGTGCAACCCGAAAAAAATGAGCCGGGTTAGGGTTGGCTCAAAAAATAAAACGAGCCAGAAAATTCAACCTAATCTGACCCGAGTCGGGTTAGGGTTAGCTTGCGGGTTGGCTAAAAAATATGACTCGTAGGTTTAACATAAAAAAATAGCTCGCGAGTTGGCTCGAAAATTGGCTTATGGGTTGGCTCGAAAATTGCTCGCGGGTTGGCTCGTTTTAATCCTATTTAAATGAACTTGTAGTATTAATGCACCAGCTATGTGGCTTCCATCAGCTTAAACAAAAGGTTGCAGAATGAAAAGTAAATGCAAAATGTTCTAGCTTCGAATTTTCTTCCAACAAATTTGCACCAACATCGAAAAATAATCAGAACCACTTGCTACCAAGTGGGTAAGATATTTGAACCAAACAGAGCCAATACAGCCTAACAATATAAAAATAGGAGCAATGTGAGAAGATTAGGGACTTAGGTTTAGAGAAGGAAGAAAGGCGATGACAGGATATGTGGGTTTTGTCCTTTTTGTATATTATATTTTATATTTTTTATAAAAAAAAAAACTCAACTCGAGAGCTAGCCCGTTTAATCCGCAGGTTGGCTAGTTTTTTCCCGAGCTGGTTGGGGTCGGGTTGTGTAAGAACCCGCACCGCTAATTAAGGAAATTAATTAGATAATTATGAGATAATTCCATAATTGACCCTAATAATTATTATAAGGCTTTAATAATTATAATAAGTGACTAATAATGTTGAAAATCGCTTTTCTGACGAAAAGCGCAGATACCGGTTCTGCTAGTCGGTATAAATGCGTATCGATAAAGTATCCCGAAAAATTATAATAAGTGCATGAATATTCCTAGAATAATATGTAGGACTGTGAAAACGAGTTTCAAGTTAAAATAATGAGAGTTGGTGTAAAAAACTGATATTGGCTATGAAAAGCACGTACCAGAAAGGTGCTCCGAAAAATAAAATAAAAATATGATAATTCTTGTAAAATTGAGTAGGTTAAGAATCCAAAGTTTGGGATTAAAATGCTAAGCGTAGGAATTAAAGTTAATATTGTGTGATTAATTTAAGTGGCCTATAAATAGACCATTTCACACAATCCTAGGCTGATTCTCCAGCTTTTAAGCGTGAGTTGGCTACTGTGTGAGTGTCTCCTTGTTGGTCATCCTCTTCCTTGGCTTTCTTGCATGAAAAACCTCCCAAGTTACCTATTTTTCCATTGATTCTTCTTCTTTCTACTTGGCAAACACTTGGTAGAGTGGTTTGGAAGGGTTGAGCCAGCCTTATACTGAGTTTTTGTCTCTGTTTTGGGGAAGGGAGAGGGCTGGTTGTTTTGGTTGAGTGTTGTGACCATCATTGTCTTGATTGTTGAAGCTCCAAGTGTCAACCTTGGTGGAGAAAGACCAAGTCTTGCAAACCATTTTCGTGCTCTGTGTATAGTCAGTCTTGAGGAGCTGTTGGTGAGCTCCAAGAGCACTCCTTTCTCTTTTTTAAGCTTTGGGGTGAGTTACCTAACCTTGATCTTTAGTTTTAATGGTTTAAAGGTGATGTCTTTGCATGTTAATGAGTTAAACAAGTAACCAACTGATATGTGAACCTAAATGGACTTAAAGATGCATGCTTTAACATTTTAAAGTGTTAAAAATGGAACCTTGAAGGGATATCTTCGCGAAAATGCAAACTGCATTATGTCGCGAAATATCCAGATATTTGGCTGTAAATATCCGGATATGGATATCCGGATATGGGTTTCTGGATATCCGGATATGGATATCCGGATATGGGGTTCTGGATATCCAGATATTGATATCCGGATATTGGAAGAGAAATATCCGGATATGTGATATCCGGATATGTTCCCGAGGAATATCCGGATATTCTGGGTTTTCGAAGAACAATAGTTGCACTGTTTATACAGAATGATGTTTGGGGTTTGTGGACCCTAGATTGGCTAAGTTGAACCTCTGTAATAATTAACTAAGTCAGAATCTAAGTGATTAAGGACTTGTGGCTTTGTGAGAAGTCTTAAGACATGAAAAGTAAAGGAAAGATGTTGTCCTTGTGTCTTGTGCTTGTCGTATATGATTATTGATATATCTATCGGTCCAAAACAGATTGTGATTATGCTGAGTTTGGACCTTGAGCTGGGTTGGATTCTTGGTTGGGATAGCTAGCTTGAAAGGTAAGCTTTCGTGTCCTCGGATTAGTCTGTTGTTTGTTCCACCGACCTCCATGGGAGGGTGGTTTATATGCATGGTATGCTTTTATGAAAGATGAAATATGCATTGATATATGCCTGAGATGTATTAAGTTAATTGTTGACTAGTTGCACAATCAGACAGTGGTGTGTAAGACATGTAGTGTATGAAAGTGATGTTGTCACTTACACGATCAGACATTGACTCTGGTGTGTAAGGCATAAGACTGCGAATCTTATGTTTAGATGGGTCGCAGACGTGCATAATCCCTATCTTGTTCCCTGGCCAGTCGAACCGCATTTACATACATCACATGATTAATGAATTATAGTATTTAGCTCGTTGAGCAAGAGATTATACTGTCATGATATATATGCCTTAACATGAACATGCATTGAAATTAGTGGTTTTGAACTTATATTATACTTGTAAGTGAGCTTGGGGCGGAAGAGTCCTTGAGGACCCCTTGTCTTACTGAGATTTCTTATTTAGAGATCTCACCCCACGTTTGGGGGCGCTTATTTCAGGTTCAGGTAATTTGGGGGCTGATGCCTCTGGCGGCAGGAGGCCTGAGCTTAGTTGATGATATTACTGGTTATATGCTGGCATGACTGGATTTAGATGCTGTTTATGTTTTCCGCCTTTATATTATATTGTTGCTATGTTGAGACTTGTTGGGCTTTGTTGCCTTATTTGGGTGAGCATGAGAGTTGTCCATGCCACTATATTGTTAGTATTTTTAGCTTGAGTTGTATAAACTGCTAGTTGGTCCAGTCTACGTGTTGTAGTTCCGTGACTAGAGACATATATCTGTTATTTTAATTAATGAGGTATTTCAGTTAGCTGTCTTTTACAATTTACATACAAGCATGACTTTATTTAAATGATTAATTAAGCAAGTTGGTAATGATAATGACGTCATAAATGAAAAGAAAAAGATATTCCGCAATTTTAATTTAGCGCAATTTAATACGATGATATGATAACATTACCAGATATATACGAAGTGTTACAGGTTGACTCGAGTTGGCAGCTTATTTTTGTCAACTCAACCCGACTCATTTTTAATGAGTTACGAGCCAACCCGCTCATTTTTGTCAACCCTAATGTATACAATCATGTAACTAACTTCTTTGTATTTTACCTAACCCTGACCAACTATAATTGATTTAACTATAACCGCCACATAATTATCCACTTGACCGTAATAGGTCCTGATGAACTACCTATTGGGTTTGACGCTTTTGGATCGGACGTGTAAAAGCCCAACCAACAGATCAGTTGAAAAATGAAAGGAAAATAAAAAGCACGTCGCCCAAACAATTTTATTTTTTCAATTATATATTTTGTGTATGATTCAAATCTTGAATGGAAAAATTTGATATGCTCACATACTTCAAGGACACAAGCACCTTCGGGTATTAGCATGAAGTGAAACTCTCATAATTACATATTAGGAAAAATATTTCTACTTTTATTGTAGAAAATTTTTTCTGCTTATACTATTTTTTTCTCTCGCGTAAATAATGGAACTTTTTACTTTTATGTGAGTGTGACAAAAAAATAATTTCTGAAACAAAAACAAAAATATTAAACTTTTACATATTATATTAATTTTATGATTTTTTTTTTCTCCTCGAGATTATACAAGGACTTTCCCTGACCTAAATCTCATCCATCCAATAACCTTAGCTAAATCAACGTAACATTGCCTTTTTGTTTGATGATGTGTACTTGTGCAGTCTTTTTTGTCTTCAATTCTTTCATCTATTACACTGCAACATTCGTCACATATATGGAGAGGAAGACACCATATATCTAGTTGTACATACGGCGAATAATATGTTCTGAAATTAAACCTCTCTATTCTCATTCACCAAAAATTTAAGAAGAAAGGAAAACTTCTCGACCCATTTAAAGGTTGAAACATTGTAACAAGAAGGAAACTCAAGCAAGCATATATAGTTTTTCTAATCAGGACAAGAGTTGTTGTTGGATCATTATTGCTGTGTAACTTCCCTCCAATTTTGAATAGCTTGAGACACTACTTGTTCAATTAATTGTGCATCCAAAAGGCGTGTATCTTGATTATTCTCCTGGGACATTAACAAATAATTACTTGTGTCAGTGGCTCCACCCAAAAGGTTATATATAATGCAAGTACAATTAAAGGGTGTGTGATTTCCTGATATAGATTACTATACATGTGTGTGTGTGTGTATGCATGTCACATCATTACTTTGTTTCCAACAGCTTCTAAATTGAAGTTGTCTGCACAAGACACCCTAGCCTGGATCACATCAAGACCCAGCTTTTCAAATGCTTCCAATATGAACACTAGCAACCCTTGGCAACTCCTTTGACTCAGCACCTTGATCACAAAGCCCTCTTCTTGAGGTTCAACTTTAAGCTGCAAAATCATTAATAAAAATCACAAATTATATTATCTAATTATCATCTACTGCATTATATATACGGATTATTTAATTTTTGTGGTTAGTATATATATATATACCATAGGCATTGGATCATAGTTAATGATTTTTTGTGCTGTTGCAACTGGTAACTGGTTCAATTGATCTTGAAGCTTTTTCTTTAAACCTTGTATGTACTCTGACGCATCCAATACCACTGAGGTTCTACGGCGCTGCATAAACACCGAAAACAATCATCATATCTCAACATGATCTTCAATTATTGAACAATATGAATTTAGAGGCAAAAATAAAATATGCAAGAGACTAAATATATACAAGTAGAAAAGGGTTGATCAAAGTGAATGCTTTTTATTCAAATGCTAACATTAAGTGGAGAAATCTCCCTAGAAGCTTTGATTAAAGGAATGAAAAATTATTTGATAAGAGAAAGAGAATGTGATCAAAATGATAGACATGAAATGGAATTCAACTATGTTCCCCCTTTTGAAAATGGATTCTGCATCTAAAAGTTTATTTAGAAACTGAATGAGGGAAAATGGCATGCAAACAGAGAAGAAAGAGATGTTTCAGAGTAATCACTGAATGGGAGTATGTGATTGAACGAAGCACTTGTAAATTCCTGTACATGGCTGTTCGCTTGTGAACCCTGGAAACCATTCTCTCTCTCTCTCTCTCTCTCACAGGAGAACAATATACAAAAAAATCTAACCAATATTTGATGGCTTATAAAGAGGATGAGAACACAGAATCTTGTTGATCACATGTGATGCAGTACTTTAAGTTTTTTAGAATTACCACATGTATAAAAAAATTTAACTTCAAGGGCAATCTTGTTTTTTATACTCGTGTGATATTCATTGTCACTGAACCAATTTTGTTCTTCTCAAGTTAATTAAGACCTAGTTTGACACGTATAAGTTATAGAGAAAAGAATTTTAAAATAAAAAATGTCGAGTTAACAATGAAATAACTGTTGAGATATATAAAATTAAGAAAAAGTGTGTATCATTTTAAAGAATGTAAGTTGTGTTATTTTAAATGAGAGAAAAAGATAGATAAAGAAAGAGAGAGTGAACAAAAAAATATAAAGATGTGGGTCCCACTTCTTTGTGAGAGTGAAATAACACAAGTTATGTCATTTAAAAGAACAAATATTTTTTCCATAAAATTAAGCTGTCGGGTGAGGTCATATTAATGATTTTATATATCTCAACAATAACTAAACCAAATTGACCAATCACATTATACAGTAAGAAAATCACATTGTTAAGTAGATATTTGATTAGTCCATAATGAAATACCTTTTACCATGCCTTATTTTATAAACGTAAAGTGTGTGTCATTTTAAATGATGTAAAGTTGTGTTATTTTAAGTGAGAGAAAGAGATAGATAAAGGAAGAGAGAGAGAAGACAAAAAAAATAAATGTGTGGGTCCCACCTCTTGTGAAAGTGAAAGAATATAAGTTGTGTCATTTAAAAGGACAGACACTTTTTCCATTTTATAATTGCCTAAAATTATTACATCCATTCACTATTAGATCCTAACTTTACAAGGAGGGAAAAAATCCACAAGAATTTCAATCTTCAAGGGCAGAGTTGTTAAGTATGATTTTCTTTTAATCTTAAAAAAGGAAAATAAAACTCGATCATGATTTTTTCCGTTTAATTTGATGTCCTAGAGTTATTATATAGTTACTTCTTCAAACATTTCAACCTGAAATATATGAGAGAAGGAATTGAACTGAAAACAGGAAGTTAATCACATAGGAGGATCATGGGGTTTGATTTGCCACATTCTATAGCAGTCAAAGTGGATAACAGAGAAAAAGACAATATCTGCAAGCTGGTGTAAGTTTGTCCCATGCAAAATATGCCATGGATGCATTATACATATATAAGAAAGAAGAAGCGTGTGGGGTCATAAAATAAGGGAAACAGTGTTATACATGTTTCTGAAAACAAACATTCCTCTGCATGGGAACGTGAAAAACTGATGAAAGAGATGGTGGTGCATTGGTAGCAGTGGGGTTATGTTGGAAGCTGGCAAGGAATCTCAATGGCTGATCAAGACACCATTCACAGTATCAACTAGCTAGCACATAGAAAAAAGTATCAAAAACATGTTACAGTTTTAGGTGTCTTCTTTAGATGCTTCCAAGTTTTCCTCACGGGGACGGATTCTCTCTCTCTTTTTCTCTTTCTCCCCTTATTGGTTTGGCTTCTCCTATATATCTACCCAAACAAGTTAAAAGAAATTTCGGTTCTATTTTTTTTTTTTTTTTTTTGTGTAAGCAGAAATTTCGGTTTTATTATAATGTGTTAGAAAAGGAAACCAATTTTTTTCCGCTAAAATCCCATAGTTGGTGGAGGGTTAGACCCGCTGTTATTCCTATATTCCAGATGGTCCCTTTTTAGTCCTTTTCCCCTTCATTTCCCCCACTTCTTCTTGTCCCTTTCTTTTTTACTTTTATTTATTTATATATACATATATTTTTATTTTATTTTATTTTATTTTTTTATTTTATTTGTCTATTTTTATTTTTTTATTTTTTTATTTTTTCTTTTTTACTTTTTTTGAACCGTTTTGTATCTTTCATGTGGGTTCATCTACCACCGACTCCAATTAATTTGGGATAAAGATGTTGTTGATGTTGATGTAAAATCCCATAGTTACAATTGAAACATACGAGTTAATTAAGCTCAATTAATTAATTCAAAAATTTGTAAATTCTACTTGCATCTTCTAAAATTATATGCTAAGAAAGTTGTTTAATTACTTGTTTGTGTGAATAGAAAAGACTTACTTCTAAGAATGGAAATTAACTTGTGCGTATGTTTTGTTGAGAAAAAAAGTTGTAGTACGATTACTTTTAACATTTATAATATAAAGGAAAATAATTCCTAGCAACTAAATGGTGCTCTATATTTTATTGGGATTTTATTGTCTCTTCTTTACACAACCTAACTGTTAGAAATAGATGAAAAGTCCACATTAATTACAAATGGATCGAGTAAGCGTTGTATAAGTGAAAAGTATCTATAAGGGCCATTGTTCAAGATTTGAATTTAAGCGATACATGCTTGATTCCAACTAAGCAAGTTTTTGGGTTCAAACTGTTGTGAACGCAAAAAAATTCATTTGTGAAAATTAGCTATACTATGATGTGAATGTTCCCTACTCAAACAAGATTACCTTTCATGGAGAATACATGTGATTTATCATAAAAAGAAAAAAGATTTGGGTTAAAATATAATGTTAAATCTACTTATTATAATGGGTTTTATGTTTATCATGTAACATGATATAACATCACTTTCCTACACACACATTAAAGAGGTGGGGTCCACATGTTTTTCTTTCTCTTTCATCATTCCACTTTCTCTCTCTATTTTTGTGTGTGTGTGTTGGAAACAACACTTAAATTATGTAACATAACACTAATAAAACCCTATTATAATTTATCATAATTTATCATTTGGTCAATTGGTAACAATTTTCCTACAAAAGTTTTTGGACTCCTCGTCCGCTTAATACTAACAAGAAAAAGATTCCAATCTAGTTCAACTATCTCAAATTACTTCTCATAAGCCCTTTTTAGAAGAAAGACTTATTAAAATATTTAGCCTAATCCATATCATATGTAAAAATATTCGGCACATCTAACATGATCAGAGATACAGATCTGTGAAAACAAATTGTGGCGATCAAAGATATGAAAGTGACATTAAATTTTGAAATATTGCCAGCCGGTTTGATAATGGTAATAATAATATTACTAGTAAACGCAGCAATGATAGCTGCCGAAGAACTAATAATATTTACCATGGTCAATATGGAGGTGACTATGTTAGATAACATATTTTTAAAGGAAGTGATATCTTAAGGAGAAAAGGAATATAAAAATAAAATATTTAATCAAACATTAAATCATCATTCAAATACTCAGAGATAGGTATTTGAATTTCACGTGTAAATAATCACTCATAAAATCACATTAACTCATAATAGATAACTCAAGTGATGAGTAAGTAGGGTTGTGCATGGGTCAGTTCGGGTCAGGTTTTTGTCCGACTCGACCCAACTTGATTTTTATAGGTCAAGTATTTTGACCCGACCCGCTTTAATTTGAACCAAGTAGGGTCTGACTTGGATTGGATTTTGTTGAACTAGTTCAGAATCAGGTTGGATCTGACCTGACTTGGTTTCTGAAGTGGGTTTGACTTGGTTTCTGAACTGGGTCAAATCTGACCTGACCCGTTTTTGACTTGGTTTTCTCACAAAATTTTGTCAAAATTTTTACGTTGCAAAAGACGAAAATTTCGTCACAAAATTATTTTTTCGTCGAAATTTTTACAAAAAATATTTTTCTATTGAAATTTAGTTTCCGTCAACAGATTTGAAGAAAGTGATTTCTTCCATCAAATGTTTTAAACGAAAAAAGAATTTTGTCAAAAAAGTTGACGGAATGTTTTTCGTTCAAAATTTCGATGGGAATGTGTTCTGACGAAAATTTTGACGGAAATTATTTCGAGGGAAATGTTTCATTTGAAACTTTCGACGAAATTTAGATTCTCTAAAGAATTTTGACAGAATATTTTTTTCGTCAAAATGTTTTTTTTGTCAAAAAAATTTACGGATTTTTTTTATAGATATGTGTTTCGTTGAAAATTTTGATGGATATTTTTTATCAAAAAACTTGACGAAAATATTTAGTTGAAAATTTTCGATGGAAATGTGTTTCGCTAAAAATTGCGACGAAATTTTTTTTTGTCAAAATATTTAATGAAAACTTTTTCGTCGAAAACTTTTGCCGAAATTTGAAATCTGTAAAAAATTTTGATGAATTTTTTTGCCGTCAAAATTTTTTGATGACGAAAACGTTTCCGTCGAAAACTTTCGCCAAAATTTAAAATCTGTAAAGAATTTTGATGAAATTTTTTTCCGTCAAAATTTTTTGATGACGAAAATATTTCCGTCGAAAACTTTCGCCGAAATTTGAAATCTGTAAAGAATTTTAACGAAATTTTTAGCCGTCAGAATTTTTTGATGAAAATGTGTTTCGTCAAAATTTTCAATGGAAATTGTTTTGAGGAAAATGTTTCGTTTGAAACTTTCGACGAAATTTAGATTCTCTAAAGAATTTAGACAAAATATTTTTTCTGTCAAAATTTCTTGTCGAAATATTTTTGTCCAAAAATTTTACGAATTTTTTTACAGAAATGTGTTCCGTTGAAAACTTTGATGGATATATTCTTTATCAAAAAACTTGACGAAAATATTTAGTCGAAAATTTTGGATAGAAATGTGTTTCGCTAAAAATTTCGACGAAATTTTTTTTTGTCAAAAAGTTTAACGAAAATGTTTCCGTCGAAAACTTTCGCCGAAATTTGAAATTTGTAAAGAATTTTGATGAAATTTTTTTCCGTGAAAGAATTTCGATGAAAATGTGTTTCGTCGAAAGTTTTTATGAATATAGTTTTTTGTGAAATATTTTGACGAAATTTAGATTCCGTAAAAAAATTTGACAAAAAAAATATTCCGTCAAATTTTGTTACCGATATGTTTTTAGTCACAAATTTTGATGAAAATATTTTTCGTCAAAAATTTTTAGGAAAATTTTTATGAAAATATTTTCCATAAAAAATTTTGACGTAA